ACCAATTTTGTTGAAGTGTAATTATTTTTGATTAATGTTGGAAAATCGACAGAGATCATTTTCTGCTTCTTTTTAATGTAGCAGAGATCACTCTAATAAAGGTCAACATTTCATTTTAGGATTATGAGACGGAGTGGTTTATAACCCGGAAGAAACATATTTGTGTTTTATAAATAATTATTATTATTGAAGGTTTTTGTGGCTCTATTGGTCTTTATTCATTAGCACTAAATGGACCGGGAATCGAACCGGAGACACCTTTGCATTATGGTGTGCCTGCTCTGCCACTGAGCTGTGCTGCAACCCATTATACAAATTATCTAATTGATTTTGAATTAATGTCTTAATTGATCATTACGTTAGTGTGGCCATTTGTTCCTGTTAACGCAGCCAGATCAGACTCTTGGCACACAGATCTGCTTTGTCTTAAACTTAATTAAAATTGAACACGTCTTGCAGTGAATCTAAAGGAGTCCTCCTGACTCTGTTTTGCAACAGAATCGACAAATAATTCTTGCTCTAGAAACAAAGCTGCTCTCCTAAAGCTAAAGCACTGATTTCATGATGCATCAGTTTGTTTTTTTTGGGTCATGGAGTTATGTCATTGTAGCCCTCATACGGCTCCATTCGATTGGGCTAATGCACATCATGTAAAAGATGACTGCATTTGATAAACAATGTGGGCTGCAAGGTTTAGTAATTGCATTTTAAATTCAAATTATATTAATGGACAGCTCCTCTGCTTTCTGTGTGGAGCTGAAATCGACTCGATTGACCTCTTCATCTCGCAGCCGCTGCCGTTTCCGCTGTTTTTGCTTTCGCTTCAGGTTGGGTTGTGGTCTGCATACCTAGCCGCAGCTGGTATGTAAAAATCATTGAAATGACAGCTGGAGAGCACAGCTAAAGAAAGCAGCAGCGTTGTTTCTGTCTGCCAGCTGATTTCTGCCCTCATTTGTATTCTGCGTTTGCAGATACAAAGCCGTCATCGAGGCCTGCTCCCTTCAGCCTGACATCGACATCCTTCCACAAGGAGACCAGACAGAGATCGGTGAGCGGGTCAGTACCACCTGGAGTATTCTGTACATATTACATAAGTCCTCAAGTCATTTTTCATCATTACTGTGCAGCAAGGCTTTGATTTTTCTGCTTGCATGGAGCTGGACTGACCTCATTTAGTCAAAGCACTGTTCTGCTGCAATTTCTTTTTTGTGCGCTTCTAATGATGGAAATAAATCATTATCTCCTTTGTTTTTTTGTTTCATATTCATATTAACTGTTACCAAAAGCCTTTGGGTTGCTATTTTTTCCTATCTTCTTGTGCAGGGTATCATCTTATCAGGAGGACAGAAACAGCGGATCAGCGTGGCCAGAGCCTTGTACCAGCAGACCAACGTTGTCTTTCTGGTGAGTCTGTACAGACACACAGCAGAGAGGGTTTTATCAAGAGAGTCACTTTGGTTGATTGGTTTGATATTTCAGCATTCGGTCAGACGTGATTCTATTTCTGAAACTGTCCTGCATAACAAAAATAGCAGCATACACCTTCAGCTCAGAGCAGATGACTCTGAGATGTCAGATCCTGATGGATTTTAGTCTTTTAGGACATATTTGTTTCATGTGACTTATTTCCCCCCTCTGCCCCCCAACACACACACTCACAATCTATTTTGCTTGGTTCCTAACATGTGAAAGTGTGTAAAATGAATGTTTTGCACCTCTTGCAAAATGTAGGGAGAATCACTACGTTTTACCCTGACCTGAGCAACATGTTGTTTCTTTTTTGTCCACTCATAGAAATAAAAGCGGGGGAAAAACGCATACAAAACATATATCTTAAGGTATTTTCATGTGTAAGAATGGCCCAATAAAAGTGCTGAGTACAGTACAAACTGAGTTTTATTTACTTTTCCTCCACTTTTCATGAACCCCTCTGTGCATCACACTAAAACACTGACAAATGTGAGAAAGTCAAAGTGGTATTAACTCTCTTGCAAGGTACTAATTTGTGTCATGTTGGAGGTGAAAAAACTTTTGAAATCATTTCTCCTTCTCATTTTTCCCACATCCCAAAAGCCTCAGAGCTGTGCAGACGTTTAGCGTTCCACTGTTTGTTCTGACACACGGTTGTTTTCTTGCACTTTGAAACGTCTGCTTATATATTTTTAGGATGACCCATTTTCTGCTTTAGACATCCACCTGAGTGACCATCTGATGCAGGACGGCATCCTGAAGCTGCTGAGGGAGGAGAAGAGGACGGTGGTGCTGGTCACACACAAACTGCAGTATCTGCCACACGCAGACTGGGTAGGACCACTCGGTCTGGCTTCCTTCACTCAAACATTTTGTTGACGCTTCATCACCAAGACGTCTCTAAAGTGCACACATGTATTCTGTGGCTGCGCTTCTTCACGTCAGATTATCGCCATGAAAGACAGGACGATCCAGACTGAAGGGACTCTGAAGGATATCCAGAACTCTGAACCAGAACTGTTCAGGCAGTGGAAGACCTTGATGCACAGGCAGGACCGGGAGTTTGAGACGGTGATTAATGACCTGCACTTACAGTATTAATGAGTTTTTAATGACTCCGAGTCAGCATTTAGTGAGACACCGCTTCTTTTAATTTGAGAAATTTCTGAGCAGGCCACTCTAGGAGCTTCAAGAGAGCATTAGATAAGTGCTTTTATTAGGAAAAATATATCCAGTCCGGGTCAGAAGTTTATTATCACTGGTAAGATTGTTTTTTCACAGTGGACTGATTGTACAGCAAACAGAAGTAGAAAAATAAAAAAAAATATATGTTTTTTATTTAAACCTGATCATACATGCAGGTTAAGATTCATACACACGCATGGACATTTGGGTAAACGCCGTCAACGAGGTTTCTGAGTGAATATCTGGTCTGTCATCTCAGATGGATTGGTTTTCTTTTGTGCCACAGATGCAACTTTTAAGCACATTAACCACATTTCCAGCAGGACGACATGCAGGTCATTCCAGCAGACTGCTGTTATCTTGATTTGTCCATTTCAAAGCCAGTGCTAATACGTAATTGGGATCATTGTCCTGTTGGAACTCCAATTAAGTATAGAAAATTGGTCAGAATAACCCAAAACAATCCATAAACCAGCACAGTTTGACAGGAGAGGGATCCAGAGGACGCTGGCCAGTACAACAAACCTTCAAGTTGGACTGAAGTCCTTTAACCTTCCCTCAAAACAACAACTAGATGACTGAAACATATTTTAGTGTTCTAACATTACCAAATACAAATTCACAGTAAATTGCAATCACATGCATCAAAATCAGGTAAATGTTGATTATTCAAAACATGAAATCCATATGGCAGTCATGCCCATGATAAGATGTAAACCTTCCTTGGAACTGTGCATAGAACCATTCCTGAACCTGTTTTTTTTTTTGTTTTTTTTAGGAAACTGTGGCAGAGAACATGACGAATCTGGAGAGGAAAAACCTGCGAAGGGCCATGTACTCCAGAGAAGCTCTGAGGACGGAGGAGGACGAGGAAGGTGAGAGGAGACGGGGGAAACAAACCAGCTGGAGCAAATTTATGCGTGACTGCAGTCTGAGCTTCTCTGATTTCATCCTGGCTGATAATATGCAGGATGACATTTACCTTCACCTGCTGTGTTTGCTGAGAAGCATCTGCTACGTTGAAGCTTAGGCTCACCAGGCTTACTTTAATATGTAAGTCTGTAGTAATCCATGTGACTCCTAGTGCTTTTATTTTCTGCATTATGGTTGACGCAAACACTTCAGAATAGATAAATAATCTCAGTCTTCTTCTTGGCTCTCGTTTTGACTCACCAGGCGCTCAGAAATGTCACCCCCCCCTCTCAGCCCAGCAGCGTCCTGCTGTGACTCTGTGTGTTTGTGTTTGTCTTTGACAAAAAGGTGAAGGTGTTGAACTGCAGATGCTGCGCTCTTTATCTGTGCTCTGTGTTGTCTCCCGTGTGCTGGCGGCACCTCGGGCTGGACTTGTGCGATGTCTCCGGCAGCAGCGGTTGCCGTCCTTGCCTTTGAGCAAACAGGTGTGGCCAGAAAACGCATGGTTTGGATAGAGAAATGGCAACAAAGCAGCCATTGTGGCACTGCGATGCTGGTAGCAAACTGCAAAGTGTGTGGATTTCTGCGTTTTAGAAAACCGTCATTCCTTCGTAGCAAAGCCTTTCTCTCACTTCCCTCTGAAACGTTCCCAACTCCTGCTTAGGCGACTGAATGACAGCATGGCTGTAGGTAACTGTTGACCTATTTTTACCCCTGCTGGTTATTAAGCCTGATTTCCTCCTGCTCTCCCTCTGCTTCCGGCATGTCTGAGCCCAGAAGGCACTGACATGGAGCCTCATGCGCCGACGCCTGCTGCTGCATGGTGTGATGTGTTGTATTTACTCTTCGTCGTGAATGAGGAGGTGGAAAGAGTTTTAATCACCAGGTGCCGCAGCCCTCCGCTGACAGTGCCCTGCAAAAGTATCCATGCTCCCTGAACTTTCTGCTACATTGCAGCCACAAAGTTTGTTTGTTGGAATGTTCCGGAAATAAACCAACATTAAAAAGCACACCATTGTGAAGTTGAAGGAAAAATTTAACTTTTTTGTTTTGTTTTGTAAGCAAAAAGTTGTGGTGTGTTTTTTACTCATTCTTTAAGTGGGGAGAACTAATTAGGTTTACAGTACAGAGGTAAGTGTTTTATTATGTCATTACAACTTGCGCATAATTATCAAGTTCAACAGTATTCTTGAACTGATCTGAAGTGTTATGCTCAGCATTACATTTGTGAACCAACATACATTATAGAATCATGACGTCATCAGATCATATTTTTTCAACACTGAAATCAGCTGTATAAATGTTCAAAACTTCAGTTTGCAGGTTCGCTTGAGCAGAAAGGGAGTAACGTCTGGGGATGTCCTGAACATTAACCCTTTACAATCCAAAATCCTCACTGCTGTCCAATACTTAACTTTTTTTTTTTCATAGACTCAATTTAAAATGATTAACTTATCAAGCATTTTTTATCCAAAAGTTCACACCACTTGATGAGTGTTCAACAAGTTGATGAGAGTTAAGTTATGCTCGCTTGAGATATTTTATTAAACACAATGTTTTGTTTTATTTTGCACCTGAGCTGTGGATTTCTGCAGCTCCTCCAGAATTATCAGGGACCATTAAGGAATGCTTTAACTGTTTGATTTAGTGGCCATTTCCCTCTGATGATGAATTAACCTTCCATCCATGATGTTTTATAACCTAATCCTACCTTAAATATCCCCACAGCTTCATCCCTGACCTTTCTGTTGTGTTGTTTGGTCATAGATGTTTGCTGAGTTTCCTCTGCAGCCTTCAAAGAATAGCTGAGATTGAATCACACATAGTTAGCATAAGTAACATATGGTAAATGACCTGCATTTGTATAGTGCTTTATCAAGTCTGAGGACTCCAAAGCACTTTACACTACAATCAGTCATCCACCCATTCACACATTATAGTTGTGAGCTATATAATAGCCACAGCTGCCTTGGGGCAGACTAACAGAATCTAGACTGCCATCCAATCGGCACCGGGCGCTCTGATTACCACCTACAGGTGAGGCAGGTGAAGTAATTTGCCCAACAACTGAGACGGACAGAGTAGGGATCCAAACCGGGAACTCACCGCTTACAGAAAACCCTGTCCACTGAGCCACTGGCACTTCTGACCAAAATGGTTGCACTAGATTTTCTTTCGGAGTCCTAAGTGGACTGATTACATGTTTTTGTCTAAAAGAAAAGGGGAAAACTGTCCTCTTAGCACAAAAAGTCCCCAACTTTGAGCTGCTCTGTGACTTAACACCCTAATAACATAGATTGAGGTTTGTGATTGTAAAGTGATGAAATTTGAAAAGTTCAAACGGTGTGAATAATTAGCAAAGCACAGAACAACTTATTAAAGTCTCTTCTCTGTCTTTATTAGCTGTTTTGCCCTAGAACTACTTCATAACAAAGGTGAATGAGGGAAATCATAAAAATGTATCTGACATGATAAAAAGAGGAGGAGGGAAGGAAAAGAGCAGAAGCTGGAACGATCTAAAAGTCAGAGAGCATTTGAGAAGTCACTTCAGATAGACACAGAAATAAGACGACTTATGTAAAAAAAAAAAAAAAAACTATGCAAGTGTACCAGTAAAACAAATACCACATTTGTTTTACCTGCTGCTTGACCTTTCACCTCCTCTCGCTCTTGACCCCAGAGGAATCGTTGGACAGCGACGATGACGACAACTTGTCGCAGGTGATGCGTCAGCGAGCCACCATCCCCTGGCGCTCCTGCAGTACCTACCTGTCCTCCGCCGGCCTCCTCCTCCTCACTCTGCTCCTCCTCTCACAGCTCTTAAAACACTCCCTCATGGTCGCCATCGACTACTGGCTGGCGCACTGGACGTCTCATGTCATCACGACCAAGATAGACGCCTCGGCTCACAACTGCACCCTCGTTAAGGTGAGTAGCTGATGAAAACCCGGCTGACTAAGCCTTCTCTTCCTTCACCGTTGTTTGTGCCGTGCTGCAGCGGTCCGGCCTCTCTACTGCGACCCTAAAGTAGATTGAGCTGAAATTGAGCTTGGATGAAGGTTTTAAGAACCGCTGTCTGAGTTAAAGTTGTGATTCATACTCATGTCTTCATGCAGCAACTCACCTCCGATGAGATTAAAAGGTTTTCACACTTCAGACACACATCTGGCTTTGCAGAAATGCTTATATATGTAAGGTTGTCAGATTAGGTGCTGCAAAAACAAACAAACAAAAAAAAACACTTTTACATTTGGGATGACGTTGCAATCTTTCAACATCCAGTGCAATGAACAGATTTCTATTCCTTGCAATTATTCAGTGGGTGTAATATCTGCAGAATTCCCCTCCAGTGAAATCATCACAGCTTTTTTACATTTTCTTCACGCTCTTCTCACTAATTCTCCACTGAATCTCAATTGAACAGAGCTGACCTAAAACCAAAACACAGAAATTGCCAGCACCAGATGGCGTGCTCACTAACCCACCCTGAAGCAGCAGCAGCCGCTCAGTCAGTCTGCATAGCAGAGCTGGAGTCACGTATTTATGGGAAAATCTGTGCCAAAATTTGAAATATCTTATTACAAAAAGCAGAATTGAATCTCTAAATTAAAGTATTCACGCCTCTTTAGCCACTTTCTTTCTACATGTGGTTTATTCATATATTTTTTTTTCACGCTGAACTTATAGCACATGAGAAACATGTGCTATAAAGCTTCAATCCCCATTCACTGTAAACATGGTGAGGAAAGCTGTGCTGCGCCATTCGCACTCAGAGGTCACACCAACTGTTTTCTGGTTGTCGTATCCAAGACGAGTAAAGCAACAACTTTATTAATAGTTTTACGTGTTCATGTCCCACAGACGGAAATTTGATACCAGGTCAGGCAACAAACAGAGTCAGCTGGCCATGAGGGCTGCAGCGTCTGAAAAGCTCTGGAGAACACAAGCACACTAAGAGCACAGCTAAGTGTTCAGAAATTGTCACCGAGCGTATCTTGTTTGGCGGAGCTTCAGAGACGCTCTGCCAGGTTTATCTAATCTGCTCTGTGCAATAGACTAATCCACATGGGGACATTCAGAAGTCCTGTTTGGACATCAAGCACACACACGCACGCACGCACGCACGCACACTTCCCATGAGCAGCTCAGAACTAAGGAGACGGGAGAATTCAACCTGCATTTTCACCACACTGGACAGACAATAAGCCGAGTTTAGGCTTTATGAAACTGTAGCAGGAACACACAGGTAGGAATATTTTTAAGTCAGAGGACAAAGCAATCTTTTAGGTTTGCTTGACATTGTCCAAAGTAAAAAAAAGGCAGATTTAGTCGCTGTAATCTGCTTTTAAAATGTGCCGTAACTTGTAAAAGTCACATTTTATTACATTCCAACCACAAACTTCCATATATTTTTGGGAGGCTTTTGTGAAATAACAAGGGTTTCAAATCTTTCTACAAATAAACTCTTACATTTTTATTTAGCACTACTGAATCAAAGCTTTCTAAAACCAGCCTTCATTGATGAAAAATGTCCTTATCGGTTTTGGTTAATATATTTGGGGTTGTTGTCCTGCTGTAAGGTGAACCACATGGATCGTTTTATTTATGTTGTCAGAGTAAATAGCTCAGCCCTTTAGATTTTATTTATGAAACCTTTTGATATCCAAATATCATTTTATTTCCACTTTACAATCTTGCACTTCTTTGTTTTTCTCAAAACAATCTCTCTTAAATACAAAGAAGTTTGACAAAATGAGGAAAGGTTGAGAATGTTGATGAGAAGTTATGAGAATATTTTTAAAGCTTTGTTCTCATTTACATGTTCACCAATTTTACTGTCGTCATAGTTTTTTTTTTTTTTTTTTGCTTTGGATGATATTACCAAGATCTAAGCAAATCTTAATATAGATGTTGTTAATGTTAATAATTCAATTGCTGTCACATATGAACTCATCTTCTTACCACGGCTTTAAACACTAATGGAACAATTAATTTGATTTGATTAATTACTGGTTTTGGTTTGATTCCTTCAGCCAGAAGCAGCTCAGTTTTTAATTATACTTGGAAGCCTTGTGTTGTCTCCTTCATGTGCTGCATGGCTCTATTAAATCACTAGAAGAACACAAAAATACTCATAAAAAGACAAAGAAAACACATTTGAAGTGCAGGTTGAAGCTGCTTGAACTGAAGAGAGAGAGAGGGAAACAACAAAGCATCATCAGCTCTTCCTTTTCTCCCTTTTTGTTTGTTCAAAAGTTGCCAGCTCAGCTCTGAGCTTCTCTGGCTTCTGCTGCATTAGATGGCTAATTTTTAACCAGCCTCACAGCTTAATTATGCTGGTAATTATAGCACAGGCAAACAAAGTGACACCTCCTCAGATACTAAGTGTTACATCCATCTTGTTGATAAATGTGCCTCTGTGCTGCAGGACTGTGGCTTCAGCCACTCGTGGTATCTGTCCGTGTTTAGCGTGCTCTGCTGCCTTGGCATCGTCCTCTGTCTCGCCACCTCTGTGACCGTGGAGTGGACGGGCCTCAAAGTGGCCAAGGAGCTCCACCACAACCTGCTCAACAAGATCATACTGGCCCCCATGAGGTAGGGCACCCACAGTGCGGGCCTGCCTCATCTGAGGTGAAAACAGGATGTCAGTGTGCTGTGTGTCTCTCTCTCTCTGGGTCCATGTGCAGAACATCGCTTATATGAAGGGACGCGGTTAAAAGCACCTTCATTTGGCCTCGTTACTCAGAGCGCAATCTGTTCTCTGGCACGTCTCTGAAAACAGACATGCGTGTTTGTACGCCCTTCGTAGACACTCGCACGCGCAAAAATAAAAATAAAAACCCTCGCTGTACTCACTCAGCACCAACCGATTTAAACCGAAACGGCTGATTGGAAAGACTGCAAACAGAAACTGCTGATTAGTTCAATACTTAAATGTGGGGATCTTTAGATTTAAACTTGCATGAAAAAAATGTTGAGTAGTAAGTAGAAGGTAAGGAGTTTGAAAATAGGAATAGGAAGTAATATATGATTAAAAATCACTGAATAATTATCAGTAAAAGGAAAAAGCCAATAATAGTGAAAAGTAGCTAATAACTAAGAAAAGTTGACTAAATAAGATGGTAATATTTATATGTTAATCAAATATATAAGGAACCAGAAAGTTATAAGAACGTAATATTAAAAAGGAGAAAGTCCTAACATGTAGATATTATCGAAGAAGAATTAAGTGTTAATTGCATCAATACTGAGTATTAACTAAGTCTTATATTGCAAGTAGCAATCTATTGATTAGAAATAGATAAACAGAAGTGGGTAAGTAAGAAATAAGGAAGCCATAATCAATTTAACTTAATTCAAACTACGGTAAGCAAGTTTCATCTTGCAGTTCAGTAATAATTTAAAGTAATAAGTTAATTAAAATAAAAAACTCAGTTTCCTTTGTTTATTCTTGCTAAATTATGATAAAATATGTATCAAGTTTGTAGGCGAAAGCAAATTTGAGTCCCGTTAACTCCAATTCAACCAGAGTTTGATCATTTAATATTTGGGCTTTAAGTGATTGAACCTCAAATTAACTATATAATCAAAATGGAATAAATTTTGTCCTGTTTGTCTTTTTAAAAGCCAAAGTATAATAATTTGTTGTAATTAATCTCTGTACCAGTGAATTTAGTTTACTTATAGATCTATTGATTAGTTACACATTCACTCAGTAACCGATCATTTTAATTTATTCCGGTTTATTTCAACAATTTCAATTCAACGGAGGAAACAAAACATATCGAATAATAACGTGCAACGTTAGCTGATCCATTTCATAATAATTAGTTATTACATTGATCACAATTGCATATTTAATTTCCTTTCCCCTTTGTCCTGCTGAGGCTGTTTGAGACGACCCCGCTCGGCAGCATTCTCAACCGGTTTTCCACGGACACAAACACGATCGACCAGCACATCCCCACCACCCTGGAGTGTCTGTCCCGCTCCACCCTGCTGTGTCTCTCCGCCCTGGGCGTCATCTCTTATGTGACGCCCGTTTTCCTCATCGCCCTGCTGCCGCTGGCTGTCGCCTGCTACTTCATCCAGAAATACTTTCGAGTGGCTTCAAGGTGAGTCAGCTGGTTTGGAATATTGCGGCTTTATGATGCCCTTTAGTAGCACAATTTGAACTGTGATTGATATTTTCCTTCTCCTGTTTGCCTGCTGGTCAGGGACCTGCAGCAGCTGGAGGATGCAACACAACTCCCTTTACTCTCCCACTTCTCTGAGACGGTAGAGGGGCTCAGCACGATAAGGGCTCTCAGGTAAAATGCAGACATTCTGCCCTCAGATCTGCAGACAAAAGAGCTTGTAACCTATAATACTAAAATTGAAGGAAGACAGAGATAAGTGGGGCCTGGGATTTAGGTTAAATGCTGTAAAAATTGACCTGAATTTTCAGAAAGCTGTTTTTTTGGGGGACGATTAAAGATAAGAGAAATACGTTTTTTAGCCATGGTGGTATTCTATAAGAAAAAGTCCTGAATGAAAAGCTTGAAGATATAATAACTTACTTTCTGGTAGGGTTTCCAGAAGCTGTTTTTACATTTTTCATGATGGTATGACAGTAAGCAAAATCTATCAAAACACATTCACCTTCAATCGGCTTTGTATGCGTCCTTTTTCTGA